TCCCCTCTGTGTATGCCACTGGAGTGACACTCTGCACTGAAAGCTTCAACTGGCATTAGACAGAAGCATATGCTGTCAGAAGCACAGTTCCATACAACATGCTCCCTCCCTTCTTTTGTGTTACACTCTATTGTTCATCCTGTAGAATATTCTGCAGCTTATCTATTGTATCCGCCTCTTTTGCACCCACCTATGTACTCTTCTGATTTGTAGTGCTTGATATCTGACCTCTTACCTAACCCAGGATTATACATATATCACACTTCCGGTACATCCAAGGTTCACAAGTTACTGAGTTGCTCAGGTTGCTTAAAAGCGCAGAGCTGATGCTTTTCTTTCAGAGCTGCCTGGAGTTTTCTTCCTGTGCACACTCCCACGTTTCAGCAGGAATGGCCCTGGTACTTCCTTCTCATCCACAAGTCTCAGTGTCACTGCTTCTGCTGCTGTCCGTGCTCGGCTTGGCTGCAGGTGGGAAGCTGCTGGTGGTGCCTGTAGATGGGAGCCATTGGCTCAGCATGCGGGAAGTGGTAGAAGGTCTGAGGCAGAAAGGACATGAAATAGTCATTGTTGCTCCTGAAATCAATTTACAAATAAAACCATCAGGGAATTTTATTATGAAAACCTACCCAGTCCCTTTCACACAGGAAGAGATGGATGGATATTTCCAGGCGTTTTTTAAGGAGGCATTTGTGGAAGGATCATTTCTGGAAAGATTTCATAGAGTACGAGAAAGATTGAAAGAACTCTTTGATTTAGGCTGCAGAGCTTGTGAACACTTACTGAAAAACAAAGAACTTATCAGATATCTTGAGGAGAGTAACTTTGATGCTCTTTTTACGGATCCTGCACTGCCCTGTGGAGCGATAGTGGCTGAGCATCTTTCCATCCCTTCTGTGTATTTACTGAGAGGAATACCATGTGGCTTAGATATTGATGCCACTCAATGTCCTAGTCCCCCTTCTTATGTCCCCAGGTTATTAACAGATTATACAGATCACATGAACTTCCTCCAGCGTGTGAAGAATGTCATCTTTGACACCTCCAATCTTTTCCTTTGTGACTTCCTTTTTGAACCATATGAAAAACTGGCTTCTGAGTTCCTTCAGCAAGATGTGACCATGCTAGATCTCTTTCATAAGGCTTCTGTATGGCTTCTGAGGTATGACTTTGTGCTAGATTATCCAAGACCATTGATGCCCAACATAATTGTAGTTGGAGGAGTAAACTGTGCTCACAAGCAACTACCTCAGGTGGGTTGTGCTGTTTTTAATTCTTGTTCTGATAGACTTCCGTGTTCCTAAAAACGTAATTTTGTATCTGAAATAGATATTTAGTTCTCAGAAGGAGTGAGCTGTGCAACTCTTAGTGAAAACAATGGTATTTCTGTCATTTCTTCTTCACTTTCTGCTTTTTCTGTATAGACGACTTCATCTTTTCACTTACAAAGTATGGTGAATTGAGAGGCAGTAAGTGGCTTCTGACTTGTTTCCCTTTTCTGTACAAGAAGGCATTCTCCCACTTGTCTGAGAAGAGATGACTTCCCCTCTGTGTATGCCACTGGAGTGACACTCTGCACTGAAAGCTTCAACTGGCATTAGACAGAAGCATATGCTGTCAGAAGCACAGTTCCATACAACATGCTCCCTCCCTTCTTTTGTGTTACACTCTATTGTTCATCCTGTAGAATATTCTGCAGCTTATCTATTGTATCCGCCCCTTTTGCACCCACCTATGTACTTTTCTGATTTGTAGTGCTTGTTATCTGACCTCTTACCTAACCCAGGATTATACATTTATCACTTTGGATACATCCAAGGTTCACAAGTTACTGAGTTGCTCAGGTTGCTTAAAAGCGCAGAGCTGACACTTTTCTTTCAGAGCTGCCCGGAGTTTCCTTCCTGTGCACACTCCCACATTTCATCAGGAATGGCCCTGGTACTTCCTTCTCATCCACAAGTCTCAGTGTCGCTGCTTCTGCTGCTGTCCGTGCTCGGCTTGGCTGCAGGTGGGAAGCTGCTGGTGGTGCCTGTAGATGGGAGCCATTGGCTCAGCATGCGGGAAGTATTAGACGGACTCAAGCAGAAAGGACATGAAATAGTTGTCGTAGCACCTGAAGTCAGTGTACACATAAAGCCAACGAATAATTTTATTATGAAAATGTACCCAGTCCCTTTCACACAGGAAGAGATGGATGTCAGTTTTCGGGAATTTTCTAAGGAGGCGTTTGCAGAAGGATCCTTTCTGGAAAGGCTTTCTACAATTCGTCAACGTCTTCAAAGAATGTCTGCCATATACCTGTCTACTTGTGAGCGTTTACTGTACAACAAAGAGCTCATCAGATATCTTGAGGAGTCTGAATTTGATGCTCTGTTTACAGACCCATTTTTACCTTGTGGGCAGATACTGGCTGAGCATCTTTCAATCCCTTCTGTGTTTCTTTTACAGCAAATACCATGTGGCTTAGATATTGATGCCACTCAATGTCCCAACCCCCCTTCTTACGTCCCCAGAATTTTCAGTGGCAATTCAGACCACATGAACTTTCTCCAGCGTGTAAAGAATATTCTTTTTGACATCCCACATTCTCTTCTTTGTCATCTTCTCTTTCAACCGTACACAAAACTGGCTTCTGAGTTCCTTCAGCGGGATGTGACTGTATTAGATCTCTTACGCAAGGCATCTATTTGGCTTGTACGATTTGACTTTGTTTTCCATTATCCAAAACCATTGATGCCAAACATGATCATAATTGGAGGAATAACCTGCACTCATAAGAAGTTATCTCAGGTGGGTGATGCCCTTGTTTCTTTCTTCACTTATACTAGTTATTTCACTGTAGAACTTTGTATCATTTAGTTAGAATGGTTTAACTGTATAAAAAGGTTCAAGCTGCTTTTCACTCTCCAAGAGATGCCAGTACTTGTTTCGGTGAAGACACTTGCATATTACAGTGTAGAAATTGTGTTTAGAACAGATATATCTCAGCTGACATCTACGCAGATTTGTAGGTCTGAATCTATCCTTTTGCTCAGAACCAAGCCCACAGTGCCCTCTGTTACCATCTGAGAAATTCAACTTCTTTGCTAGAGGTAGGAAATGTAAAAGGTGATGGGAATAGCTTAAGATGTTTGTATGAGAGCTCCGTTCGTGAGAGCAGCTGGTGCTTCTGCTAGGTAGGTGTCAGTGTCTCTGTGTGCTTGCACATGAGTGCAGTCAGAAGAAATGTGAAACAGTTGGCCCTGAAGGTGCAGGAACAGATCTCCCAATAAACATCAGAGAGGAAAGGAAGGAGATGGGTGCAGTAGTGTTCCGAAGGGAAGACATGGATGGACGTTACCTAATGAGCAGGTCTCACGAAAAATCACTCCAGAATAAGTCTTAACAGGCCTGAGAGGGAATAGTTGTGTCTGTGCAAGGAGTGTACCCCCCTGATGCTTGATGAATCCGGAGAACATTCGTACCCAGAACCACCCCTTCCTCGTTATAAGATCACATTTCACTGTTCCTCTAATTGAAATAAATGATGTTTCAGCGATGTGTTCATCAGACTAACCAGTCCCCTGCGGAATGCCTGAACTTAGTACTTGTTATCAAGATTTTTATGATATCACAGGTTATTCATTTACTGCACAGCAAATACCTTGTTGAAGGATCAAAAGTTATGATATAGCACAGATTGCTTAAAGAGCACAGGGCTGTTGCTATTGCTTCAGAGCTGCCTGGAGTATTCTTCTTGTGCAGCACTCCCACTTTTCAGCAGGAATGGCCCTGGTACCTCCTTCTCATGCACAAGTCTCAGTGTTGCTGCTCCTGCTGCTGTCCGTGCTCAGCTTGGCTGCAGGTGGGAAGCTGCTGGTGGTGTTCGTGGATGGGAGTCCCTGGTTCAGTGTGCTGGAAATGTTAGAAATTCTGAAGCAGAAAGGACATGAAATAGTCGTTGTTGCACCTGAAGCCAATATAAGCATAAAGCCATCAGAGAATGTTACTGTGAAAACCTACCCAGTTACCTTCCCACAGGAAGAGATAGATGAAAATTTCCACACATTTTTAATGACTTCATTTGAAGAAGGATCATTACTGGAAAGATTTTTTAGACTACGTGAATATGTGAAAAAAGGTTTTGATTTAGGTTTCATATCCTGTGAACAGTTACTGTACAACAAAGAACTTATCAGATATCTTGAGGAGAGTAACTTTGATGCTCTCTTAACGGACCCTATATTATCTTGCGGAGCTATACTATCTGAGCATCTTTCCATCCCTTCTGTGTATTTCATGAGGTTAATACCATGTGGATTAGATTTTGAGGCCACTCAGTGTCCCAATCCCCCTTCTTATATTCCCAGGCTATTTACAGACCATACAGATCACATGAACTTCCTCCAGCGTGTGAAGAACGTCATCTTTGACACCTCCAACTTTTTTCTTTGTGACTTTATTTTTAAACCATTTGAAAAACTGGCTTCTGAGTTCCTTCAGCGAGATGTGACCATGCTAGATCTCTTTCATAGGGCTTCTGTATGGCTTCTGAGATATGACTTTGTGCTAGATTATCCAAGACCATTGATGCCCAACATGATTGTAGTTGGAGGAGTAAACTGTGCTCACAAGCAACTACCTCAGGTGGGTTGTGCTCTGTTTTTAATTCTTATTCTGATAGACTTCTGTACTCCTAAAAATGTAATATTGTATATCAGATAGTTATTTAGTTCTCAATGGAAGTGAGATGTGCAACTCTTAGTGAAAACAATGGTATTTCTGTCATTTCTTCCTCACTTTCTGCTTCTTCTGTGTAGGCAGTTCCATCTTTTCATTTACAAATATGGTGAACTGAGAGGCAGTAAGTGGCTTCTGACTTGTTTCTTCTTCCTGTACAAGAAGGCTTTCTCCCCCTTCGCTGAGAAGAGATGACTTCCCCTCTGTGTATGCCACTGGAGTGACACTCTGCACTGAAAGCTTCAACTGGCATTAGAAAGAAAAGCTGTCTTAAGTCAATTTAACTGTGACATGAACACTGGATTTGTTACAGATTACTTTTTTGTTATGTGTTATTGAAATACGTTTTGTGTGGTGTTGAGTAATTTGGTACTTTCTTGCTCTCATAAGGATCTTGTAGTGAGTGATGGAAGGGTAGTGGAAAGTCTGAGGTACTGCCACAGCCTCAGAATAATCATCAACTTGGCAACCGCTGAGAGCAGTGCCTGTTATTTATAGAGAACTGCATATCAGGCTTCTGTCCGCCGGTACCATTGCTGCCTTACCACTTAATTCTCTGTCAGTGATGTTGTCTGCTATACACAAGGGTATTTCCAAAGCCAGAATGAACCAGAATATCACAGGTCGTGGACATGCAAGATAAGAAGCATCATCTGTGTTTATAGGCAGACTTCAGACAAATATTCCTTGGTGATGTCCATGGTATCAGAGATGCTGTCGATGTTGTGAGCCTGAAGGAGGTATGGTGCAATGGTGGATCCTGGTGAATTGCATAAGAGCTGCCAAAGTGCTTTTCTTTTTCTATGTTTTTCACCTAGAATTTCTTTCAGGGCTGCTCTCAATTGAAGAGAAATTCTTTGCTCTTTTAGTGAAGGTATGAGGTGGGGCTTTGTATCCACTATCCAAAAGCATTGCCAGGTACTGTGGAAACCAGGACAAAGAACTTCAAAGATCACTGCTGTCAGAAGCACAGTTCCATACAACATGCTCCCTCCCTTCTCCTGTGTCATACACTGTACTCTTCATCCTGTAGAATATTCTGCAGCTTATCTATTGTATCTGCCTCTTTTGCACCCACCTATGTACTTTTCTGATCTGTAGTGCTTGTTATCTGACCTCTTACCTAACCCAGGATTATCCATTTACTGCACTTTGGATATATCCATGGTTCACAAGTTACTGAGTAGCTCAGATTGTATTTAGAACAGATATATCTCAGCTGACATCTACGCAGATTTGTAGGTCTGAATCTATCCTTTTGCTCAGAACCAAGCCCACAATGCCCTCTGTACCATCTGAGAAATTCAACTTCTTTGCTAGAGGTAGGAAATGTAAAAGGTGATGAGAACAGCTTAAAATGTTTGTATGAGAGCTCTGTTTGTATTAGCAGCTGGTGCTTCTGCTAGGTAGGTGTCAGTGTCTCTGTGTGCTTGCAGATGAGTGCAGTCAGAAGAAATGTGAAACAGTTGGCCCTGAAAGTGCAAGAACAGATCTCCTAATAAGCATCAGAGAGGAAAGGAAGGAGATGGGTGCAGTAGTGTCCCGAAGGGAAGACATGGATGGATATTACCTAATGAGCAGGTTTCACGAAAAATCACTCCAGAATAAGTCTTAACAGGCCTGAGAGGGAATAGTTGTCTGTGCAAGGAGTGCACCCCCCTGATGCTTGAAGAATCCGGAGAACATTCCTACCCAGAACCACCCCTTCCTCGTTATAAGATCACATTTCACTGTTCTTCTAATTGAAACAAATGATGTTTCAGCGATGTGTTCATCAGACTAACCAGTCCCCTGCGGAATGCCTGAACTTAGTACTTGTTATCAAGATTTTTATGTAATCACAGGTTATTCATTTACTACGCAGCAAATACCTTGTTGAAGGATTCAAAGCTATGATATAGCACAGATTGCTTAAAGAGCACAGGGCTGTTGCTATTGCTTCAGTGCTGCCCGGAGTATTCTTCTTGTACAGCTCTCCCACGTTTCAGCAGGAATGGCCCTGGTACCTCCTTCTCATGCACAAGTCTCAGTGTCGCTGCTTCTGCTGCTATCCGTGCTCAGCTTGGCTGCAGGTGGGAAGCTGCTGGTGGTGCCACTAGATGGGAGTCATTGGCTCAGCATGCGGGAAGTGTTGGATGAGCTCAGGCAGAAAGGACATGAAATAGTCGTCGTTGCACCTGAAGTCAGTTTATATATAAAGCCAACGAAGAATTTTATTATGAAAATGTACCCCGTCCCTTTCACACAGGAAGAGGTGGATGGCATGTTCCGGAGGACTGGTCAGGATGTATTTGCAGAAGGATCCTTTCTGGAAAGATTTATTATAACATATCAAGGGTTGAAAAATAGTTCTGCTATGTTCCTGTCTGTTTGTGAACAATTACTATATAACAAAGAGCTAATCAGGTATCTTCAGGAGAGTAAGTTTGATGCTGTCTTTACAGATCCACTGCTACCTTGCGGGCAGATACTGGCTGAGTATCTTTCAGTTCCATCTGTGTTTTACTTGCAGCAAATGCCATGTGGCTTAGAATTTGAAGCCACTCAATGTCCAAATCCCCCTTCTTATGTCCCCAGGGTATTTACAGACAATACAGATCACATGAACTTCCTCCAGCGTGTGGAGAATGTCATCTTTGAAATATCAAATTTTTTTCTATGTGATGTCGTGTTTCAGCCATATGCAAAACTGGCTTCTGAGTTTCTTCAGTATGATGTGACTGTGCCATATCTCCTAAGCAAGGCTTCCATTTGGCTCATTAAATTAGACTTTGTTTTACACTATCCAAGACCACTGATGCCCAACATGATTATGGTTAGTGGAGTGAATTGTGCCCACAAGAAGCTAACTCAGGTGGGTCAATCTGTTTTTTTTTTACTGTCATTTTTGTGAGCTTTTATGTACTCTGAGATGTTGTGACGCACGTTTTGTTGGAAGGTCTTTTTTAGCTGTTGATGGCAAAAGAATTTCAAGCTGCTTTTTCTTTACGAAGAGCTGCCAGTACTTGACTCAATGAAGATAACTGAATATCTCATTAAAAAGATAAAGTATTTTAAATTTAATTGGCTCTGGCTAACTCTTCTAAAACATGCAACAGTATTAGATCTCTTATACAAGATATCTATTTGGCTTTTATGATTAGACTGTCCCATTATCCAAGACCACTGATGCCAAACATGATCATAACTGAAAGAATAACCTACACTCATGAAAAGCTGTCTCACATGGGTGATGCTCTAGGTTTTTTTTTCTTCTCCTAAACTATTAATTTCACTATAGAATTTTGTATCATTTAGTTAGAAAGATTTCTCTAACTGTGTAAACAGGTTCAAGCTGCTTTTCACTTTCCGAGAGGTGCCAGTACTTGTTTTGGTGAAGACACTTACGTATGACAATATAGAAATTGTGTTTAGAACAGATATATCTCAGCTGAAATCTATGTAAATGTGCAGAGGGTCTGCATCTATTCTTGTTGCTCAGAAGCACACCCAAAATACCCTCTGCCACCATCTGAAGAATTCAACTTCTTTGATAGAGGTATGTAGTATAGAAGGTGGTGAGAACAGTATAAGATGATTGGTTTTTTGTCAATGTGAGCACTGTTGTGGTTATTTGTGAAACTCCTAGTTTGTTCTTTCAGATTTGTCTTTACTTAGAGGTTGAATCTGTGCTTATGATCGTTCTTTTAATGTCTGTTAGTTGAAGAACCAATATCCTATGCCAGATTCTGCTCTTGACTTTATACAGCACCTGAGGCAATTCTTGCTTTGAAAATCTCTTCCTCCTCTCGCTGATTTCATGGATGCTGCTTCTCATAGCGTGTTTCTCCTTTCAGTGAATTCCCTATATACAGAAAGCTATTTTCAGGTGTAAATGAGGTGACTATTGTTCTTTCAGCCTTGAGTCCCAGTTGCACTAGTACTCCCTTCCCAGAATTCCTGCAGAAGGGAAAAACCTGTTACAAATGCCAGGGAATCACAGAATCATAAAATATCCCGAGTTAGAAAGGAATCACAATAGTCATTGAGTCCAACCCCCAGCCTCACATAGCACCACCCAAACCCAATCCCTATGGATGAGGCTGGAGTCTCAACGCTCCATGAGCTCCAGCAGCTTGGGGCCGTGCCCACTGCCACAGGAGCTGCTCCATGCCCACCTCCCCCTGGGGCACAGCCTTCTCCTCACCCCAGCTGAGCATCCCTGACTATCACTGTCAGCAGAGAGCAGAGCTCAGCTCTGCCCCTCCACTCCCCATGAGAAGCTGCGGCCCACCACAGGCCACCAGGCGTAGCTGATGGGTGCAGCAGCACCACCCACCCATGGACTTGCTTGAACTCCAGTGCTTGTTATCCAGCCTTTTAACAAACCAATGATTAAACATTTACCACAC